AATTTCACTCCTGACTTGTTCAGGCAAACTCCATTTGCCTTGAAAAGATGTTTGCGGTCCCAGAAAAAGTTAAAATTGTCAATAAAATGAACAGAATGGTCAGTACAGACAGTTGAAAGCCAGGTATTTAGTGCAAACAATCTGCTGAATCTCTCCACTCCTCTTCTGACTGGCGGTAGAGGGCCACTGATGAACACCTCTGCATTTAGAGAGCTGGCAGTTTCCAACAAACATTTAAAGTCTTCTTTCAGCACTTCTGACTGTTGTTTCACAACATCATTTGTTCCAATGTGTAGTACCACATTCTTCACAGTCGGATGTTCAGCCCCAATATGCAGGATCTTCTCAGCCAAGTCAGAGACCACATCCTTGGGAAAACAGAGTACTTTGGTGTTGTTCTTATTACACAGACCTTTTACATCTCTTACAGCAGAGTCACCCACAATCAGAGTTTCAGGCCCAGTCGTTAGCTTTCCCTCTAGCCTTTTACTTTTGGAGTAGCTATTTGTCCTTACCCTGCTGTGTGAAGAGGACAGGTTATCCAGGTCATCAGATCTCCGGTTCTCGGTCAGCGGAGCGTATCTGTTCTGGATTGGCACACTTGGTGGTTTAGGAGGATTGTTTGTAATTCTCCCTTTAGCATCTGTCCACTGCTGTTTCCTAGTATGAATAGGGGTTGAAGAGGCGCTCTTCCTGGGTGATAACAATGCAGGCCAGCCGGTCGCATCACAGATTTCAGAGCGCTGGGCTCTGCCTGTTATCCGTCCTCCCAAATCCCATGGAAATGATTTACTCTTAGGCTTTGCACCCAGAGAGTTCCAGGGAGGACTACCACTTGTAGATTTATTACCCGGTACACAGCCCTCCTGTTCCTTGGAATCCTTGTAGCTGCTAACTAGCTGTGAGTTAGCATACCCTTCTCCATTATTTTGCAACACTGGTAAAGTAGTGTTATTCCCATGACATAGTCCATTCACTTCCACGTTAACTTCCAACCGTTGCATTTTCATTTCCAACACAGCTATCTTCTGTATAAGTTTGTGGAAGTCATCTGTAGAGAACAGAGGCATTTTGCTACCAACTAGCTTAAGCTAAATAGCATGCAGTAGCCTACCAGGCTTTAGCTGTTGCTAGGCCACGCTACTGTAAGACTGAGGTCGTCGTAAAAATGTTGAAATATGGCTGAAACCCTCCGTCTATTTACGAAGATGAACTGTCCCAGTGATAAGTTAATGTCCAGGAGCCGCTGCTCGAAGTTTTCAGAGAATAAGAATAGGAAAATCAGCATAAAAAGTAAGCAGAGGCAGGAGCAAGCAGAAAAGCGTCTGCACTGTAAGAAAGAAAGATAAGAGGTATAGCTCTACCTAACGACAGTGCTATACCATTCAATGACAAAAAAACATAAAACAGTCATTTCTACGCCATTACTTGCCTAAAATCATGGTTAAGATCAGTTTAATATTCTTTAAAAATACTGCAAGATTGTTGCATAATTCATGTCATATCGCTCAACACCCTAATACAGTTTGATTGTGAGACAGAGAATTATCCTTTGTTCCTAACATATAATACACACAAGGCACAGTAGTAGCAAGTAGCAGAGCCATGAGTTTAGAAAAGCTGTCCAGATCATGGCCTCCATTGGAGTAAAGGGTTTCTTGTGTCAGCGGGTAATGGAGCTCTCAGGTCACATTGGTCATCCTGACACGTTTTCCTGTGGATACTGAGACCTTCCTGCTACTGGTGGCTGCTGTGTTTTCTTCAGACCACAGTTTTAGTGAAGCTTAACACCTGCCTACCAATAATTTCCTCTTCTGATGGTTTCTCCTACTGCTGAGAGTCTGGCAGGTCCAGGAACAGATGATGTTATGGACAGATCATCAGATCAATCAGATGATCTGTAAGGCATGGCAGATTCAGTATACAGTAAACCGTCATGTCATGACCTATTGTGTGGTCTTGAATTTAGGATTTTACAGGGTGTGTGATGACCAAAATAACAGGAGCACAGTAGGTTACAAATAAATAATTAATCCCAATAAAGAGTTGCGAAAAGAAAATCTGAAGCTCTTCTTATATCACTGTATGTGCTAAATCTTCTCCTGTGTTGCAAAATGAATGTACGCACTTCAGCTAAAATAATCCCTACGTGAAACACTGCAGTATGGTGTGGGCACTGCTTTGTCTCAGAACGGAAGCAAAAGGTGGTGAAACCTTCCTAATGCATCGAAGCGTTGGTTACGGGTGTCTATGGTCACTATTCACCCCGCCTACAGACTGGGTGATCTACACCCCTCTGGGTGCCACTACAGCACTCTCTGGTACCAAACCAGCAGGCTCATGAACAGCCTCTACACCTCAGCTGCCACCTTGCTGAACTCTGAATCTTGGTAGTCCAGAGGTTTTTTTTTGTACATACTCTAGTACTCTGCACTTACATGGGTTGGATGCTAAACTGCATTTAAATGTCTGATTACACTTACTGCTATGAAAACGAAGTTGAATCTAAACTAAGAACTGCAACACATGTGCTATAGTTTGCCGTTAATACCAGTATTGTAAGTACTGGTATAGTGTATATTCTTGAATATAATCAAGTTAGCAACAGGGTGCTAACGCTAATCAAGATTAGACACACATACGCAAAGGAATCACAGTTTCCTTTCAGGTTGTGTTTTACATGTCTATCTTAGGGGTATGTCTATGTACATTTACATGCATACATTAGTGAGGATCACGGAGCAAAGGGGGCATTAGCACAACATAAAACTGGCTAAGCTTGATTTTTTCCAGAAAGAGCTACATGAAAAGAAGTTCACACCAGCAACACATTAATCCAACCCCTCTCAGCAGTTTATGTCATTATCACATCCCTTGACATTCCTTAAGTGTGTGAATCTACGATGGAAGCTAGACATATAAGCATTTTGAACAAGTTCTACCCAATGTTTATAAGGCTTAAATGTAAAACAAACATTTTAATAAGAAAAACGTACAGCTTTCGAGTTTGAAGTTGTGTCATGTCAGTATCAATCCATCCTTGAGTTTAATTTTTCACGTGAATTCCGGCTTTGTTATAGTCTTCATTGAGAAATACTTTTCCTGCTTGAGTTGGCTCATTTGAAGGACACATAATGATGAAAAAACACTTTAAAAAGTGCATCCCAAAGAAATGTCTTAAAGAAGTGGCCCTTTGCTGCAACCTTGGAACTTATTAGAACTTTTAGTTTTATGTTAGTGTTATTGGTAGAATGTTTTGCATTTATTTATCTATTTATTTGATGGATGTTCTCATTAATATCATCATTATTAAATAACTGAACATTATTACAAGGCTAGGTTTGATCCTCTTTGCAGCTGAAACATGTGGCGCCTTCTGATTAGAACCACTTAAACATATCAGCTTGGGAAACATCTAATAATCATTATTTGTTATTTTGTTTATTAATGTGTATTTCGTTAATGAAATAATGGATTAAAATGATTAATGTCAAAGAAGAATAGTTGAAAATACTCATCCCAAGAGTTTCCATAGGGCAGTATCAGAGTGAAATCACAACCTACATTTTTTCTTTGTCCATCCAACGTACAAAAACTCAGTAAAGATACAGGAAGTCGAACAATAGTAAAGTTGAGACCTTCGATTAATAAAAACTAGGGCTGTCAGTCGATTAAAATATTTAATCGCGATTAATCGCATGATTGTCCATAGTTAATCGCGATTAATCGCAAATTAATCGCACATTTTTTATCTGTTCTAAATGTACCTTAGAGGAATATTTTTCAAGTTGTTAATACTGTTATCAACATATGAGTGGACAAATATGCTTTATGCTAATGTTTATTATCATTTGAACAATGACAAATATTCTCATGAATATTAAACACAACAACCTCTGAACATTACAAATATTCGACTCAATTCAACCTGGAACAATACAAATGGTGTGTGTGTGTGTGTGTGTGTGTGTGTGTGTGTGTGTGTGTGTGTGTGTGTGTGTGTGTGTGTGTGTGTGTGTGTGTGTGTGTGTGTGTGTGTGTGTGTGTGTGTGTGTGTGTGTGTGTGTGTGTGTGTGTGTGTGTGTGTGTGTGTGTGTGTGTGTGTGTGTGTGTGTGTGTGTGTGTGTGTGTGTGTGTGTGTGTGTGTGTGTGTGTGTGTGTGTGTGTGTGTGTGTGTGTGTGTGTGTGTGTGTTGGATCGTTGGAGCTATGTGCAACTTAAGGCATATGCTCGAACGGGAGCTGCCTGGACGCTGCAATCATGTTGCGCACTATCCGTGCTGAGTGTGCTGACTTTTCGTACAATGTCCCACTGTCTGGCTTCCTGCATAAAGTCAAGTGCTTGGCGCAGTTGTGGCAAAATGTCGCTCCTCTGTTTTCATTTAAACAGCTCCATATCCGTTAGCGCAGCTAGCTAGCACCAGATGCTAACAACAACAATGCCCGTAAGGTCTCTCTCTCGCTCGCTCGGGCCACACATACACACACCCTCCCGGTCCTCCCAACAGCCTGCCGGTGAGCGTGGAAGTGTGGTCTGCCACAAGCGGGCTGCATGAGCGGGGCTGTCAGCATCAGCTTGTAGATGGTATTTTAAACTCGATGCGCTCTGAAACTACGGGGCGGCCGAGGAAAAAAAATACATATGCGTTAATCGCGTTAAAATAATTAGTGGCGTTAATTTTTTGTTGCGTTAATGCGTTATTAACGCGTTAACTTGATAGCCCTAATAAAAACACATCTCAGTGGAAAATTATTGTCAAATTCCCACAACTTCAAGAAGTTTCAAGGATGTAGAGCCATCAGGACTCTACACTGTGTGTACTAGACAGCTCAGTGTGGTTTGTATCTATTTCCAGGGGGCTGGCAGTGTGTGGGGTGTGTTTGCCGCTTGAAAAGAGTTCAATCGATATAAAGCTCAGGTTTCAGTAGACCTTATTCCCCACTGGGATCCACATTTGGGGCTTAGGAAAGGCTGCAGTATCGAACGACGGCTGCTCTTACCTTGATGAGCGCCTCCAGCTCGTCCGGGGACACGCACTGGTGTTTCTGCAGGAAGGCGGCCTTCTCTGCTGTGATGGTGATCTTCTGGTTGTTTTCGAAGGGCTGCTCCAGCGCCCGGAACACCAAGCCCCCCACCACCAGATACGCAACCACCACCACGAACACTGCCAGCACCGTCTTCAGCTTCATCATGGTGAAGGTGGCATAACCGTCCACCACCCCCTCCATGTTGGCCACCACGCTGGGGGGGCGGGGGGCGACAGAGAGCCGCGGCAGAGCGCAGCCCATCGGGTTCTGCATGGTGGCCACACTGGCATGCACCAGGCTGCACTGAAGCATGCCTGCCTGCACCTTCTTTGGGGGGACCAGGTTAATCTGGACTTCCACTGAAACACAAAACAAGTCAACAATTGTGTGTGTGTTGCAACATCTCAAGGTGTATTAAGTGTCTATGTAGAACTTAAGGCTCAAGAAAAACACAACTTAAATTAAAAAAAAGTCTGCACTTTAATTGGCATGAGGGAAGTTAACGGAAAAAACCTGATAAATTCTCCTGACGGATAATAACGGCCCATCCACACAGCGGCGTGCGTTGAAAGCTTCACCATTCACTTTGAATGGGGTGTCGTCACTTTTCGCCGAACTGCATTGTGGGAAGTGAAGCGGAGCTTTGCTGGCGTGGCTCACTTTTGAAGCCTCGGCAGAAGCGTCAGCCAATTGAATCATATGCCGGTACAAGCTCTAGCCAATCAAACCGCTGCTTGTGTGTCAGGGGCGGGAGATTCATGTGATTGGTTTGTTGGAGTTTCAGACACGCCCGCCGGCAAGCTTCAACGCACGCCGCTGTGTGGACGGGCCGTAAGACCGCCATCTTAGCATTAAAAATTCAACATCAGGAAAATGTTATCTGTCAACTTTCGATTTTGTTAGAGCACCATTCATTATCGGCACAAAACAGTTATGTCTTCTGCTGATAAATGACATGCAACAGGTGAGTATGTATTTCCTTTCATTAAAGCATGCATGGCCGTATCCACCGTATTCACCGAGGTCCGGACCTCGGTAATATTTTTCGAGCTGTGTTTACAAAACTTGTGAAATAATTGCACTAAACGAGGTTCTTTGTAGTACTTCCATTTACTGACGATGAGGGCGCTGCATAACTATATGAGGGGCCGTACAGGCCGTAATTCATACTGGTCCTCTCACGCACATACATTCTCCTTTTACATACATATATTTTCACTCTTACATAGGCCTACATACATTCTCCTTTTACATACATACATTTTCACTCTTACATACATACATTCTCCTTTTACATACATATATTTTCACTCTTAAATACATACATTCTCCTTTTACATACATATATTTTATAATATATGCATGTCTGAAGAGAATATATGTATGCAAGAGAAGAATGTATGTATGTGTGAAGACAATATATGTATGTGAGAGAAGAATGTATGTATGTGTGAAGACAATATATGTATGTGAGAGAAGAATGTATGTATGTGTGAGAGAAAGTATAGTGGAAACGGAAGGAGTATGGTTGAAACGGAAGGCAGGTCATTCTTGCGCTGTGATTGGCTCAGAAGGTCAAGCGGGGCGGGCTCATGTTCAGAACTTCTGATTCAAATCAACATGATGGAGGGAGAGGGTTAGGGTTAGATGACTCCGTGTATCTACGGACCACTGGTTTTTCTTTATTAAACAAGTAAACGGAAGAGTGTCTGCGAGGCGTTTTTGTTTTTTACCTTACTAAATGGTCTAATGGTCATTGTAGCGAGGGGGGGGGGGGGGGGCGCGATACTCGCGGAAGTGATTTCAAAACAAAAGCACTCGTTTGCTTGGAACGTTGAACATAATTATAAACAAGGGGAAACAAGGTGAATTTAGCGATCACATCTTTTCAAATCAGCTGCTCTTTATATTTTACAAATATTTTTTACTGAAAGTTCTTAATAAAACTGACACTGTTGGACTCGAATTGAGAAGAATAAATGGACAACATTGTTAGGAGATTTAAACTATACAGTGAGCCGTTTTTTCAAATCAGTAGCTCTTCATTTTCTTTTTACAAATATATTTTACCACAAGTTCTTCATAAAACTGACACTGTTGGACTCGGTACTAGTTTGACTGCTACTAACAATACATTGAAGTACTTTTACTGTGTACTTTGTGAGAAATACTCTGTCAAAGTCCCCTCCATATAGCACATAATCTAATGCATCAATCCGTCCCAGGAGGGAGTTTATAAACCAAAGAGTAACCGCCCTTACGGCACGCTCTGATAAGTAAAGCGAACGCACCCGCAAGGACACCTGGCCAGGGATGTGACAGTTTCAGGGGTTGACTAAATGTTCCTTAAAACCCCTAAGGCTTGCTGCAATCTACGCGATTCATCTCCCTCCATCATGTTATGTTGATTTGAAATCAGAAGTTCTGAACATGAGCCCGCCCCGCTCGACCTTCTGAGCCAATCACAGCGCAAGAATGACCTGCCTTCCGTTTCAACCATACTCCTTCCGTTTCCACTATACTTTCTCTCTCACATACATACATTCTTCTCTCACATACATATATTGTCTTCACACATACATACATTCTTCACTTGCATACATATATTGTCTTCACACATACATACATTCTTCTCTTGCATACATATATTCCCTTCAGACATGCATATTATAAAATATATGTATGTAAAAGGAGAATGTATGTATGTAAGAGTGAAAATATATGTATGTAAAAGGAGAATGTATGTATGTAAGAGTGAAAATATATGTATGTAAAAGGAGAATGTATGTATGTAAGAGTGAAAATATATGTATGTAAAAGGAGAATGTATGTGCGTGAGAGGACCAGTATGAATTATGGCCTGTACGGCCCCTCATATAACTACGTAGCCTCGTTTAAAGCAAACAGAAGAAGACGACATGTATCAACAAACCACCGCAGCCCGGACTTGAACCGGAGCAGCGGAGGAGTGATGAGGTATCTAGAGATCTTAGTCCAGCGGGCTGCTTCTGTTTCTGTTCATCAGGACATCATAGGACCAGCAGATCCTGTGTGAACGCTGTACATTAGTCAGTGGACGTACGACAACATGCACACTAACTTATATTGCAGCTATTGTATAGGCTATACTTTGGTTTAAATTGCGTGAATAAACTAGCTAGAGAGCTAAAGTTAATTACATTCATCCAATGTCAGAAGGATTACCTTTTAACAAACGTTGTAATGCTTTTCTTTCATTTCAATTTGAGTAAAACATTGAAGATTTAACATTGTATTGTTTTCTTTTTACACTGACTCAGATTAAATGAAAAGACTACGTCAGTCGAAGCTCAGCTTTGGTAAGAGAGAGACAGGACAGGCAGAGAGAGAGAGAGAGAGAGAGAGAGAAAGTGATGGAAGTCAGGGAGGAACTGCAGGTACAGTCACACAAAATAATGTAGGCTTAATATCCCCATCTATCTATCTATACATCTATAACAATAGTCTTCATTTACAATAGGCATAATTGTAAAACAACATACATCTATTGCAGTTATGATGTCATAATAACATACAATTGTATAAAACACAATTTGCTTACATCTTTGTTCTCTTTTGAGAATCAAACAAAACAGATTTAAAGTCTCACAAACAAGTGAAATGAACTAAATTGCTGAATTGCTTTTAATTCACTGTCAGGAGCGACAAGTGAGGAGGAGCAAAAAGTGAACAACGAGGGAGAGATTGAACAAAGAGAAAGAGTAGAGGACAGAGAGAGTAATGAACAGGAAGAAGACAGAGAGACTCAAGAAGATGGAAGAGAGGCTGCAGGTTATGGAAAGGAGAGAGACATGGAAAATGAATGTTGACAATGTTTTGTGATCATTTTAGCCTCTTCTGCATGTCCAGATCATTAATAGTAACAATCAACTGATTCTTATGTATTACACTTTCAAAAATAATTGAGGCTGACATTGTCAGCCCACTGACATGGTTTGAAATCAATATATTATCTAATGTGTGACCCCCCACAGGAATTAAAAAGCACCTAACTAGATCATGAAAATCACCAAAATCTCGGGGGATATCCCCCGAACCCCCCTAGCATGTTTGGACCTCGGTATTTAGGAAATCCTGGATACGGCCCTGAAAGCATGCATGTTTAATTAAAAACAATTTAAAATGCCTTTAAGCAAAACAGATTTGGGAGGAGAAATAAAGAGGGGCAAATCAATCTTACAAAATACACGTCTAAATGCTTTTTTAAAACATATTATATCGACAAACTCTGAAGCGAGACCATAAAAGAAAGGAAAACGACTATTACAGCCTTTTATGCAATCTCTGGAACACTATTTATTCCCAGGATTGATATTTTGCAGGATGTTTGCAGACAGGCAGAAGAGAGAAGACTCTAATCTTTTACCAACAGACTCTAATGTTTACCCAGAGATGCAGTACAGTATATGTAACACATAGCTGCAACACCAACTGTTGTACAACAAAAACAACCCGAGAAAACCCTGAACACAAAAACATAACTTCCAAGAGTAAGTATTTTGCTAAACTTGTAAACTCATAAAAAACCTTTTATCCATTTTACTTTATCTATAACTCATGCAAGTTTAGATCTGTGAAGCACTGGCTGCATATCCGTAAATCAAAAAGTTCAGTGGGTCAAAGACAATAAGTCTCTACCAACGGGAGGTAAAAATGTTGTCATTTTCCAGAAAGGGTGAAAACAACTGTGGCCATCTTTTTCCAAGTAATCCTACGCTGGCTATTTCTTGACTTTAATTATTTCTGGTTAGAGAGCTGCGGGTTATGCTGAATGCTGCTGCTCGAGTCCTCACTAACACTAAGAAAATGGATCATATCGTACAATTTCTGAGGTCTTTACACCGGAATTGACTTCATTTCTGATCTTCCAGAACTCTCAGGTCTTTTGGGAGGGGTCTGCTCTCTGTCCCCAGAGTCAGACCTAAACATGGAAAAGCAGCGTTCAGTTATTATGCTCCAAATATCTGGAACAAACTACCAGAAAACTGCAGGTCCTCTCCAATAAAGTATTTTATATCAAGGCTGAAGACTTTTTTTGTATTCTATTGAGTGTATTTTTAATTTGTATTCTCTTGGCTTTGTAATGACTGTTTTTACATGTATTTCAATAAAACTGTATAATGTGTTTCATTGCCCTGTATCTTAATGCATTGAATGTCCATTGTAAAGCACTTGTGTTAAAATGAACCTTTCTGGGAGTGCAATACAACTTTAAGTAACCTACTAATCCACTGAATCATTTTGACAACAGGCTTCAAACTCAAGGAGCTTGGGATAATACAACTTATTTTTAAGTCTTACTTCTATTGGTCATAAAAAATAAGCAATGTTTGAGTGCCTTGGCAGCTACGCATGCATTACATTGCAACAACCCACTATCGTTTCAAGTTTTGGGACATTTGTTGCATGTACCATCCCTCTCCTGAATGCACTATCAAATAACAAACTTTTTTGAACAATTTGAAGATGTCACCTCTGCCTTTTACTATTATTGTATTACAATATAGAACCAATGATACATCAGTTAACAGGGTAATTACTGGCAGATTGATCAATAATGAAAATAATGGCAAATTATTGACCTTGAAAATAGTATTTACACAGAAGTTATTTTGGGTGTGCTTACTTTCTTTCTTTCAGACATTAGGTGCAGGGGGAGGATGCATTGCATTGGATGTAGTCTTTAATAAAAACTAATTTCCATTGGTAAAAACACCTGAATAGATGTATAAACTGTGTTTAAAATGGCTTTAGGTGGCTTCAACCCATTTGTGCACGTCATTAAAAGTGTACAGTGGAAATGTATCCTTCTCCTGGAACCAGCTGTTGAATATGGTTAGACTAATGTGTGTGGGTTTTTTCCCCCGGTGTGACTGACAGCCCCCAAAACAAAACAATTGTTTTTTACATTTCTCCATCTTAAATAATGTTGTTTAACAGTGGAATCGTGATCAGGGCGTCTGCTTTGTTATGTAACCAATGTGTATAGAAAACCGCTTTCTTTTCAGACGTGATGATGAACGGTACAAAACCATAGATTTAATGGTGCAGAAGCAAGACTTGGAAATGATTGTCATACATCTCTAATATGTCATGTGCTGAATCACCAACTGCAACAGATGTTGAAGCTACGCTATAGGAGGACGTGACACCCATGCAAGATTTTGGGGGGGATCTTCCCAGAGGTAGATGAGGTAATGTTTAAAAAGACTGACAGTCTGGTTAATTTTTCCTGGAATCATTTGGTAATACAATATTTCCCTCCCATTGAATCATTCCGCAGGTATAGACACATCAAAACAACCCCCCCCTTTGTGTTTCCATCAGTGGGGATGGCACAGGCTGCAGTAGCCTATTCTCCTATAGTGACGTTCAGCATGCAGCATCAGCCTCCACTACCACATTTCTCTGGAAAGTCAATTTTTGGTCAGCATTAATCTTTCAGTGGAAAGCTTGCTGGAGCTTTCAGGCAGAAGCAATCACAGTGGGTGCAGACCAGGTAAACACTGTAGAGTAGCAATTACCCAGACTGCAGCATTTCAATTCAATATACGCGGTGATGAGATGAGGCATTTTAATGGGATTCAATGGGAAGATGTAGATTGGATGGCAATATTAAAAATGACAGTCTAACCTGGTGGAGGGTTCATGCTCCCGAGCTTTCTTGGATTCTCAATCGGAAATTTCATCTTGGATCTCCTGGTTCTTGATGCTGCTGCAGGGGGGGATACATGTATTTAATGGATCATGGTCCTTTCGGTCGATTCCGTCGGCTTTAACCTGGAGAGGATGGAGAACGGCAGGGAGTAAAAACACATGATCCGTGGTGGGTGGAGATGCCGGGTGAAGCTGCTCTTCTCTGTTGACTCGCGGCGGGTCTTCAGGAGCGCACACCCACTGCTCGCCGCATCACCGTCCACATTGTCCAGCAGGTTAATACTGTGCAGCGGGGAGACGATGCTCCATTAAAAGTGTGTATCGTTTACATACTGATTGGTTTGTTGCTGTTGTGCGTCCACGTCAGGATCGGGATGCAGCGGATTGTCGACTCTGTGCTACCAGTGTTGATCCACTCCTCTCCGACGCAGACCGCTTCTGGTTCCACCGCTGCACCGTCGTGACAGGCGGCATGCGCACCAGTTTACATGACATGACGTCCGTTTACAGAAAGATAACAGTTTGCCTGGAGAATAGGGAGAGAAGGAGGGAGATGGAAGGATGGAATAATAATGTTATTTAAAAATCCCCCTCCTTGAATTTCGAGTTAAATCTTAATGATATTGAAAATGTGATGTGACTTCCTTTTACCTGTGGATTAGGCTATACCTAAATATCAAATGCAATGCAAGTAAATACAATAAAAGACACATTTCAATCGGATGTTTTTTACTTAAGTGTATTATAACAGAACAATATGTCCTTAGCAAAAATAAGAAACCAAGATAGTATGAAAAATGATTTTATTTATAGGTAAACCTGCCTTTCATAAAGCACATTCAGGCAGTAGCCCAGTGGCGGTTCTAGAGCAATTTATGGGGGGGGGGGGGGGGGGGGCACACTGGGGCCAGTTATTTTAGAGAGGGGCATATGGGCATAGATGTGTCTCATAATTATTTGTGTGAACATAAATATAATTTGTGTGTAAATATGCGATTTGTAAATGTAAAACACCATCCACAAATGAATTACAAATATTTGCAAACTCACAAATACATTTGCAAATGTAAAACGGATCTGCAAATACGGTAAATATTTTCACAAATAAAAAAAAGATCTGTGAATATCTCTTTAAAATGGACAACTTTCGATCAGGCATTTGTGAATCCATTTTGTATTTGTCAACCAAAAATGCGCTTGCGGATCTCAAATCTCTGCTCGTGGATCTCAAATCTCTGCTTGTGGATCGTCTTTTTACACACACAGAGTTTTGAGACAAACTTTCCGCCGGTCTCGGCTAAAATCTATTCGTGTCACTCGGTTATTTTCGGAAACCACGTGATGGCCTGCTGATGACGACTGAATACATAAAAAAAGGGGAAGAAAGAGTTATCTCTGGGGTTGCTTCACTGCTGTAGCTCCCCGGGACCCGCAAGTGGCGTAGCCTGTAGCCTTCAACATCAATGCATACGAAAGTGCTCGATATATGCTGTATTGAACCAATAAACTAACACAAACTAACTGTATCACTATAACATGATGATGATGGTGATAAAGAATGCATCTAACGTTCCACTGTTCATTATAATACAAAAACAGTGCATTAAACAAACCATCATGCTCTTACTTTGAAATCATGCGGAAATGTCGTCATCAATAGGCCATCTTTTTGGAAAATAACTCTAAATAAGGTCTATGGTTGACACACATTTAAGAGACGGATCACGTTTTGTTCAGTCGGATAATATCCACATGTGTACCCTAAATTTTATAATTTTCGAATCATAAATCTAATCGATAGATTTATGATCGATAGATTTATGATTAGAAAATTATAAAAGTAGGGTAGACATGTGGAGATGTGGACTCTTAAATGTGTGTCAACCACAGACCTTATTTCGAGCTATTTTCCAAAATCCTATGGAGAAATTGCATTGCTTTTTTGTCGAAGGAACCCATGCGCAGCTTACTTCTGGGTTTTAGGATGCGTCACTGTGGCACTCTATAAACACAGGTTAAAAAAGACACAGACTGTATAAAGCAGGGGTAGCCAACACGGCACTTAGTCGCCCGCAGGTGCAACATGAGTCGCCCGCAGGTGCAACGTGAGTCGCCCACAGGTGCAACGTGAGTCGCCCGCGGGCATGTTCTAAAAATAGCTCGCCAAGCAAATCCAAAATGTAAAAAATACACAAAACAAAAAAGGAAATGTAATTAAAATAATCTAGCCTATGCATAAACGAAACCTCAATCATAGCTAACTCTATCTACTTACTACAACTCTATATCTATCTAACACTCCTCCTCCCCCCACCCCCACAATGAATATCGACCAATCACATTCTTGTTTGATTTGCGGGACCAGCGTTGCAGTCGGGAAGAAAAGCAATGTGGAGCGGCAGCTCACCACTTCATAAGGAGTGTGACCGTGATTTTCCTTCTGGCAGAATCTACACAACACATCAGCCCCCATCTGGTAAGTAAACATTTTTACAAAAAAACGTTTTTTGCTTGTCAAAGTAAATGTTCTAGATGTCAGCTATATCGGCTGTCATGTCAAACAAAATGTATTCAGGTTTAAAAACATATATTGTATATGTTGATGTGTTGGCAGTGTATTAAACCATGTAAATCATTAAGCTAAAGATGACTCTGAATTTTTAAGCTATATGCAATTATTTCTAAAATGGTGGCTATGGGGTAAAGTGAACCATGGGCCTTGAGGTAAGTTGAGCCAGTGGTTCAATGGAGTTGCACAGTGGTTCTCAACCTTTTTACACCAAGTACCACCTGAGAAAATAGTTGGCTCTCCAATTACCACCATATAACCAATGTTAAAATACAGTCTATGCACAGTTCATGCAGGACTCTGAGGCAAATATTCATAATAACATTATTAACTGTCAGCCAGCTGCATGTACAAAGGGCAGTCTCTCTCTGTCTCACTCATCACTCACTCACACACCACAAGTGAGAACATAAAGAACAAAATAATAACTTATTCTCACACAACAAATGACAACTGTACATACATGTCATTTCCTATACCAAAGTTTGAATGTAGGCCTCCTGCAACAACCTTGTAACAGAAAATGTCTTATTGGGAATTCAGTTCCACAATAATAATGAAAGCCCCCAGGAGCAGATGAGCCTAAGGGCTAATAGCTCATCTTCAGTCTGCTGATGTTTGCTATTGCCATTTCTTTGGTGGCGAAAAAGAAAAGAAAAAAGATAACAATTAAGGACAAGTGTGGGTTTTTTCAGCTTTTGACCTCGGTCACAGCCTTCTCTCCATTCTTTGCGCAAATGCCTTCTTCCTGAGTCACTTCTCTCCTCCATCACAGCGTTGTGACTGTGAATATCACTTTTGCGTTGCTGGCGGAGCCTGCGCTTGTGCTCGGTTGATGACTGTCCTCCTCCTCATTCACTTGTTCACTTTCGCTGGTAATATTCTCCTCTGTACCTCTCTTCTGAATACCTCCCGTTTTGAGCCACGTTTTTAACAACATTCAGCTTTCTTCTTTCTTTAGCTTGCTTGCAACGTTCGCTAATCGTTCGCGGTTATGGTCGTCATTAGCAATGCCAGAAATAAAACATTTTTTAAAAATGTGTTTCTAAATCAAAAAACAACAATAGCCTATTAGAGCTTATTTAAACCACAGTTTCAATTATCTCAAGCTTATTTTCATTCGTTGTAGTATTTTGATAGTATGATTTATTTTTTAATTAATATTCAATCAAGCCTCAAACTGATGGCACTTGTCCCTATAGCCTGTTTTAAATTGAAGTTGTCTGAGGTCCTTACCACCAGCTGCTCTTGCAGTACTAAGTAGTGTACCTTACTGTCCAAAATGTGCACAATGTACACTGATTTTGCTCTAGTAAATAATACTTTGATTATACAAGAAATTACTAATATTTTTTTCTGTCTCAAAATCTCAAAAATCTCTCTATTTAATGTGTTTCTTGAATGTATAGAGTAATGTTGTATCTTCATTTTGATAAGCACATTTAAATCATAGCACCAAGTAAATGTTAACTAAAGTAATGTGTTGACCTATAACCTGTGAAAAGCTAGTAAAATGTACCTGGGCAATGTGAGTAAAGGTGGGCGACGTCAGAGGAGTTTGCACACGGTACAGACATTTGAAAAAAAGCAGACGGTTCCAGTTGAAGAGAAGGGCGCATGGCCCCTCGTCTAATATGAATACTCGTGGATTTTGAATCATGTTAGTATATTTTTGTACTTTATTAACTCTGTACATCCCTGTTAGCTTGTCAGCTTAATGTGGATATCAAACAAATGTTAGCTAAAGTCAGTGTTTCAGCTTAGCAATTAAGCTAGTTAGCGTGCTTGCTAATTTAGCCTGCTGTCATGGATGAGGCACACACAACATGTGATGTTTAGTAGTTGCTTCAAATTAGCTAACAGTTGGCGAAATTCACCGTTGTGAATAAAACATGTGGCAGTGGGGCACCGCACTTGTAGTTCAGAAGAGTATTTTTGTTGGTGGTGTTCGCGTTACATCTTCAAATACTGCTTGGTAGTTAGCAGTGTGCAGCCAAACTGAGTTTTCCTTTACTGTGGGAGTCAAGTCAGTTCACTCACTTGCATCCGACTGTGTGTGATGCACATGTGTGCTTTTATTTCCTGTGTACACCAGGGGTGAAAGTGGTTTGAATTTCTTGCAGGGGCCCCTCCCTACAGGCCAATCACGCAGGCTGCATGGGGCCCCGCCTTGCGCAGGGGGCCCCGCCCACAGGGCCTCAGCTGCTGTGCGCAGTTCTCCGCTCACCCCCCGCGAGAGTGAGAGGTGAGAAGGGGAGCACGTCTGTAACCCGACACCATTGCAATGAATCGACATCTGACCAATCACGGCTTTGATACGGCCACTAGTGCAGGTGAAGAGATGTCGGTGAAATTATTGTATGAGTCAAATGTACAACTTGCGAATGTTGTATAAGTCAAATTGCCAATTGCCATATTAAAACATCAGCTGCAATTCACGACATGAAGAAGGCAGTCTCTGCATAGCATATAGGCTAACGGAGATGCAGTTATTTCCAGCATTCTTTATTTAACATTCATTATGTGATGCCTTTTATCTGCTAATGTACAGGAGGAAGAGTGATACACTGTCTGTCTACTTGGCTTACATAACAGTTCAAGTTTACAGCTTAAAAAACATGGAGCATTTTTCCCCCTTTTATTCATTTTTATGTCAATTTGCACATTTCATGGTGACGCTCAGCCTCTCCCCTTAACTCTTAACAGTCATCATCATGTCAACCACAACACAGAGAAATACTGATAGAAATGTGTGTGTAGTTGTTGATACATTGCTGACAGAGGGAACTACATTTGAATACAGATTTAAGAAATATCAGTTTCAGAGCATGTCATAAGCATGTTTTGTCTTGACTAT